AGTGTGTGCGTCAACCTTTGAACCCGCCCCAGGGCTTCAATTCTGTGTCAAAGTACCTACGCCCACTTCCCAGCGAGTCCCAGCTTGTCCCAGCCATTTCCCATTTCCACATTTTCACCCTAACCCCTCCGCCCGCCCGCCTGTGGAAAATAGATGTCAAGCGGTTTTCCCCCAGTCCGTTTAAATTGAATTGTTAATTCGGCACAAAAACCTTTCCCTTTTTTGCCTTTTGTGTGTGCGTGTTTGCCATCAATGCGATTTTCTTTTCGGCTCGTTCCGGGTGAAAATATTTATGTTGAACCCTTTTTGTGGCAGCTTTTGTTTTGGCTTTTGTTGCGTTATGCAAACATTCGACTGCCAGTGACAACACAGGAAAAGCATCCCCACTTTAGCCCATTCCCTTCCCCCATTTTCCAGTTACAACTTGGTTATATGTATATCAAGGGGGAATTTGACTGGATACCTCTGTATATATCTATAGCCATACCTGCAGTGGACGCTTCTGTGGTCCTGGCAGCCGATTCTATTATCTTTTTGCCACCAACAACATTTGCATATCCGCAGCGGACCGCAGGATCGCAGGACTCTAGTTTTCAGCTCTCTATTTGACTCCCGACAATCCGCCATTTCCAAGCTCACAGCTCTCCGCATTGTTTGCTATTTGCAGGTACACTTCCCCTCTGGATTTTCCCCCATTTTCTCGCCCTGTCCTTGCCCCTCCCTCCAACAACTGAAGCATAAATCAAGCGCAAAGCACAAATATTTTTCAAGTGACAACAAATATATAATGACGACTCCACGGGTTTTGCCTCTTGGCCAGCAGCAGGAGCAGAGTGCCGGAACACCTGAATGGACCCGGGACCTGGCACCGTGGCCTTCTGTGTTGACTTTTGGCAGGGAAAACAAAGCTGCCTCTGCCACCACCCACTCGAACTTGCTACCATTATTCCGGCAGTGGAGGTTACCTTAACAAAAAGGTGGGTTATTGCGAGAATAATAAGATCAATTTGCTGGAGAAATATATACGAAAAGGTAGAACTACTGGTTACTTTACAGTTTGTTACATTATTCGGATATGTTTTAAAGAATTGTATACAGAAATCCAGCCCGGAAAATAACTTAATTTCCCTTTACTTGTAATTAATTCTTAACTCCCAACTGCAAACCACTTTATTCACTTTATTAAATCATCAATAAATGCCACAACAAATGATCTCCTCTGCCGCTGCTCCTCATTTCCCAAAGCCAAACTATTTCATAGCAGGGCATCCGAGGGATTGAGTTTTCCTGTGGCAGGATTTCCCAGCATTTTCACTGGCCCACTTTTCCGCTGTTGCGACGCTGCTGCGGAGTGCGCTTTGCTGATTTCGTTTTGATTACGGCAAATTGTTTTTAGTTGCCTTTTGCCGGGTTGGGTCCTGGTTTCCTTTTCTGCCTCCCATTTTCCTCTCTGCACTCCCTGCTTTGTGTGCCATTGCGATTTGTTTCGTGGCCAAGTTTATATTGCGGCATTTGGTGTGCAGTTTGAGCCCAGTTCCGTTGATTTGCATTTGTGGTAATCACAGGTCAAGTCCCAAATTACTTTTTTCCCCACCCCCAACTCCACCCCAAGTTCCTCCAATTCCTGACCTTAGGTCGACCAGCGATATTGACAAAGTCCCTGGCAAATGGGAATTGCGTGCTGTTGGCCACATTAACCATTGATAAATTCCACTATTTGTTGAGTAATTTCACTCGACTTTTACTCCCTTTAAATGTATTTCGGTTAATAGATCAACAAAGTTATTACTTCACCAGTAACGAGTTTGTTTGTTAAATAAGTGTTTAAGTTCACTCTTATTTTTTCGTTGTATTTCCTGTGGGCTGCAATTAGCAAGTTTTTCGATGCACAACTTTTTAATGAAATTAAGAAACCCGCGGGACCCGATCCCGTTTTGCCTGCGCGTAGCAAAAATTAAGTGCAACTTCAACTCCAGACCGCAGACGTGCCACTGAAAAGGCGCCTCTAATGAAGGCTTCTCCCGAGAAACACAACAGGGGAGAAACTGGGGGCTAGAAGGTATATATATATATATATATGCTATATAACTGATTAGTTTGTGGGCGCGACTTCAATGGCGATCCATTGCGATTACAGTAATAAGGCGTAACAGCCTTTTCCTGCACTTGTCTCATATATGTGAGTACACTCCCACATATGTATGTATGTATCGGTGTTCCCAGGGCCAGTGACAGTCGGAGGTTAACACGCACACCTGCCACGCCCACCGGAGGAGACCCCCTCCTGCACACACACATACTTGAAGCGTTTCGATTAAACAAACCTCCTCAAATATGCAATGACATTGAGGCAAAGGCAAGGGAAAGCTTAATGGTATGGAATTGAGCATGGGAATGTGTAATGTGTTCCCATGTAGCACAGTGTAAAGCGAATACTGTATTGCATACAGTGAAGCTTCTGCTGCTGCTGACAGGCGATTATCGGGGATTTGTAATAAATATTCACGTATTTTCCCGGACACTGACGACTGACTGCATTCAGTTGGGAAAAGCTCGAAACGATTGATGGATTTTCACAGGGAAAGCCTTGGCAGCTGACGTAATGAAAGTCAGCTGGGTTTTAAGGATGTGTTAGTATGCATTTAAAATTAAATTAAGTCTAAATTTTGCCTGATACTTTATATCCCCTTCTATTTGCTTTGATAGAATAATTGCAGTTTGCTTTTCCCCCAATTTATTTATTTATTCAGCCTCCAAGTGATGAGAAAGCATTACTAAACTGCTCAAGGATCTGGGCCTTAGCTGCGATTGCATAACCTGAGCTCAACTAATTAGGGAAAAGCGAAAACGCAAAGAGGGAAAAAAGTAACGAAGCTGAAAGGAGAGTGAAAGGATTGCCAGCGATTGCATAAGCGAATGAATATATAAAATGTCGGATGACTGAAGGCGTACACACAGGACTATGACCATAGAGCGGGGTGGAGGGAAAATGTCAACGCGACAACGACAACGCATGCAACATGGCGGCGCCCGGCACCCAACTCTGACGCTCAAGGATACGCAAAAACACACACATGCCCGCTCTCTCTCTGTGTGTGTGTGTTTGCAGTCGCTTGCGTAACGTAAAAATAGCCTTGAACTGCAGCCGTGCGCTTTCAATGGATTTGCATGCCACCCCCTCCCCACAGAAGCAGGCTCAAGGTCACGCGATGGAACAGTTGCAGGCCACAAAAGCTGACACGGCCATTATATAAACCCCATCCGGCGACCGCACTGCAAATGTCGCCGAGACACCAAGCTAATTGCTTCTAGAGCCAAAGGCCAACGAAATTGCAACAGAGCCAAGCTGCAAAATGCATTATTGCTCACAGCAAATCGCATCGAACTTTGTCCTTTTCAAGAGCTTGAAGCAGAGGGTTTATCCTCGGGAAACAGAAAGGAAGCGAAGGATATTATCATTAATTCCAATTCTTTCGTACAGAAATATTCGTAAGAGAGAGCGCAAATCTGAATGGGAGCCTTAATGAATATTTATTTGTATTTGTTTGGCTTAATATGTTTTGGAGCTGCCCTCGCCGCCTCCTTTGCTGTTTGTTGCCCATTTAATGTCCCTTTTCCCCGCCGTTCTTTCGTTCGTTCTCTCTCTTTCGTTGCTTTTGCCCCATTCTGGTTTATTCCCGCCATATCCTTGCCATTTGCTTATGCTGGCAGCTCTTTCATTTCGCTCCTCGCTCTTTGCTCTGGCTCCAGCGCCATTTGCCATTCGCCATCGCCATCGCCATTGCCAGCGTTGTGTGCAAGTTGGCCATAAAAATGGAGTAACATTTATGACCCACATCAGGCGAACGAACACACACAAACACAACGCAGCAGTAAGCATACACACAAACACACACAGAGGGACTGCGGACGCAGGACGTGCACTGAGAAAAACTACCCACAAAAACTACCTTTAAGGGTTAATAAGGATAACTCTTTTTTATACCCATTTAGAGGTATTATAATTTTAGTCAACAGCTCATTACGCTGTAAAGAAGTCTTTTCCGACCCTATAAATCATATATATTCTTGATTCAATTTCAATTTTCAATTTTTTTTAAATTTTTATAAGTGGTTACATCGTTAAAATTGTCAAAAATTAAAAGAAAAAAATTTAATTTTTTTAAATTATGAATTTAACATGCAGATAAATTAATCTAATAAAAATTAACATAGAAAAGCTTTCGGTATTAAAATTAATTAATTTTTGCCTTAGTTATGAGTTTTTTTAAGTTTGATTTTGTCATAAAAATGGTCATATAAAAATAACAATAAATAAATTCGCTTTCTGTGGAATAATTCGATTCGATCCGATAACTGATTATGTTTTTAGCTTTCCACAAACCTCTTTTTGCTTAACATATATTTTTATTGAAAGTACTTATCTTTAAAAATTTGTAGCCCTTTACTCCCGCAAGACACACACTGCGTATACTTAATTTAAGAGTTTTTACGTCAAGTATACGTCATGTTGGCCAGCTAGTTCCCCTTGTTTTTGTTTTTATTTTCAATGTAAGAACGTTTTTCTCTGTGTGTCTAAAAACGAAAATGCTATTTAGCATTGGTGTGGGTATGAACATTAGGGAGTTCAAGGGGGCGGGACTCCTGAGGTAAAGTGAGGGGCAGAAGGGGTACGCCTGCAAGCGCAACATTCACAAGGATATTTTATTTTACTGTTATTCCATTTCCCGCTTCTTGTTGCTGTTGCTGTTGCTGCTGCTGCTGCTGCTGCTGCTGCTGCTGCTGCTGCTGCTCTTGCTGCTGTCCTTTTGTTATTGCTCCTTTCGGCATTTCGACATTTACTTTCCGACTCGCAGCGCGTATCCTTGAGGAACCCAAAACATCCCCCCACAACCCTCTATTCCCTCTTCCCTCTCATTGGTTATAGCTGTTTTCAAGGTTAAATATATACGCGTGGCATATCGGAATCCAAGGATAATCGAGTGACTTAAGTAACTTACCCTTTTGGCGCTGACAAGTATGCTACACATTTCAGCTGCAGCACATGCTGCATTCTAGCTGCGCCTCCTTTTGGGTGCTCCTTCCACTCCTCCTGCTCCTCCTCCTCCTCCCTCGTTTTCCTCCTTTCGCTTACTGACCCAGTTCGCTTTGTTTTGCGTGTTTATCTTGCTCAGGTTGCTGCTGCTGCTGCGTTGGTGGCGGCTGCTGCTGATGTTGCCGCTTATTTTTGTTGCATGCTTTTTACAAATTTTTTAGGCCTTGTTTTTGTTGATTGTTTGTGTTGTTGCTTCTGTTTCAAGTATGACCGACTTTAGCACGCACGCACACACGTGTTTAAATAAGGAGAAGAAGAGGCAGAAGGAGCAAGCATCAAAGGAAATTTCTTAATTTTAGACTCAGCAAAGTTTGCAATGCAATATTCATTTCATCTTATGCCGCTTCTTGTCCGCTTTCTCTGCTCCTGCTTCTTCCTTTCTTTATCCCTTTTGCCTTCCTCTACTTTCACTCACAATTGTGCTGCTAATTCCCTTACTTTCACTTTGTTAGGCCTGTTGTATGCGCGTGTGTGTCTGTGTGTGTGATTGCGTCTTACTGTATCCGTGTGTGTTTTGGCTTTTGGCGCACACGTGTGCGTTTGTATGTATCTGTGCGTCGGTTAACGGCATTGATTTTTCCGAAATTAAAAACAACTCCACTTGATTATCAACCGATTCGATTTGTTTTCATTATTCGCTTATTTTGTGCACCGTTTCACGTGGATAATTTTTCTGTTAGCATTTTCTCTTTCGCTTTGCTTTGATTTTGACGATTTGCGCGCGCGCTCAAAACTTTGCAACGGTATGCGTGTACAGGTGTGCGTGTCTGTTGGTGTTTGTGTGGTGTGTGTCCGGCCATGTGTTGGTTGGAATTCAGATGCCCGAGAACGACGATTTCGCAGGAGCAGCAGCGCACGTCCGCTCTCCACGGAGCTTCACACACTTCTAAGGGCGCCGAGGCACTACTCTCCCGTATTTATGCACAGGGCGCTTTTTCTCTGGCATCCCATCTACTTTCTCTCATTCTCAGGGACCAAAGCTTACTCTCGCTCTCTCTCTCTCTCTCTCTCTCTAGCTCACTATGTTTTGTACAAGAAGCGGCGCCACAATGTCTACGCATAAATAATACGCACGTTGCACAGCAGTAAGCGAGTGAGAGCGAGAGCATCTCTGCTTCATGCAAAAAAGACTCCAATCGGACAGGTGCAAGGAGAGAAAGAGTATATTGGAATGTTAATGTATAGGCTACAGTGATGGAAAGACTACCTACCTACTCATGATAAATTAAATATTATGACTATTATAAATTTCGAGCAAATAGAAGGTATGAAAAATATATGCATTATTATATTTAATTAGCTTCCCTGGGATATAAATACTTTCATAGTTCGCATATTCCCCATGAATCCCCTACAATAGCAGAATACGTCATCGTAGCGGTAAACAAAATTCACATGAGAGAAATTCCCTTACACCAGACAAATTTCTTAGCTTTCTTGCTTTGCTCTCTCTCTCTTTTGATCATGCGCATTACCCCTATCTCGCTTGTTCCCACATGAGCTCCTCTCACTGCGCAAGCTTAAAAGCCACTGCTCTCCCCCTCTAACCCCTTGGCCCCCCACCGACTATGCTGTTATTGCATGCGAAGCACGTGAATTTTTGTGTTTACTTTTTAATTTTCTTCTAGCTCTCAGCCTCAGTAAGTTCCCTTGTTTTTATTGTTACAGGGCAAGGAGTAGTAGTTGTTATTGCTGCCGCTGCCGCCTTCTGGCTTTTGTTTTTCTTTATCGCATGTGGACTTTTGTTTTTCTTGTGGGCCTCGCTTTGTTTTGTTTTGTTTCATTCATACGGAGTTTTGTGGGGTTTTTGCTTTCCCTTTGCGTTTTGTGGACAAACTATGCAAACTGCTTGCCATTTGCGATCGACAGTTGGCATGAGTGAGTGTGTTCTGAGTGCATATGTGTGAGTGTGAGTGTGCCTGGCTTTGTGTATGCGAGAGATTTGTATGGAAATTGGCGCAAAATATGGCCCAAAACCGAATTCAAGTCCCCAGTTAGTTATGTGCAGCGGTTCGCCTTTTCTGCATTCACATTTTACAGCTGCACAGAGCCTGCTGTGCATGCATATGCTTGTTAGGGCAAAATGGAAGTCATTCCTGCAAGCAAAATCGCCATTTTGCGCCAGGGTCGCCATTTTGTAACAGGATGTGGAATTAAAGTAAGACTATTATTTAACGAGGTAAACTGGGGGAATATTTAAGAAAAATATGTATGCCTTAGTTTGTGTTGATATTTTATATAGGGAATATATTTTTAAGGTATTTAAATTAATTTAAAAGCTAAATCAAATAGAAAACACTTAGTGAAAACATTTTCAAGAGCAGTACAAAGTCTCTATTTGATAAATACCAAGATTGGTCTGCAATAGAATAATAATAAAGACAATGGGAGTGTCACAAACAGCCTGAACTTGAATTGGACAACTTCCTTTTTGTGCTTTCAGACAAAAAAAATAGCATTACAAATAAACTATGCTAAACTCTTTTGTTAAAAGAACCCCAATATTCTGGCATGTAATCGAATTCCTGCAATGGAACAGCCCCTTCCCTAAAAGCGTATGCGTTATGGCATCCATGGATTTTTGTTTTGCCTTTTTTTGGGGGCAATGTTAAATCATGCATGCTGATTGTCCTGTGGCCTCAAGGATGCCAAAGTACCGGGAGTCGGGGATAGGATGCATTGGAATAAAACAGCAGCATAAGCAACAGAGTCGGAATCGGAAAATCAGCATCGCCATCGCAATCGCAATTTGAATCGGAAACAGCAGTCATATTCGATTTCGTTTACATTTGCAGCTTTGTCCCGAAAAAGTGATGAGATAGGGGGGATGAGATGGATGCAAATGATGTCGCTTTTCCTCGCTTCTCTCGCTCCCACCCGCTCTTTGGACCTTTTGGGAAAATCAACAGCAACAAAGCCAACCGCTGCAGCAACAGGAATTTTGATTTTGAGCAAACGGAGTGCAGAATAAACAAATAAACAAATGGCATGAAGTGGAGTGGGGGGAAGGGAGGGAAAACTAGGGAGGTTGGGAAACTGAGTGGGCGTAACCCACAGCAACGGAAACTCTAACCGTAACTCATGGCGGCTTTAGCCCCCTGCCACTGCCTAAACTATTTCCATGAGTAATTGCCGTTGTGCATGCGCCACTGTCTGGAAAATGGACCCCTCTGTTTTCCCCACCTCCCCTCTCCCCTCACTCTTTATTTTCCCCCCATCATCATCATCATCATCCCCGTTGTCCTCGTCGTCAGCTGTATTTGTTGTCAGTTTCGGTCTGGTTTTAAGCCATTTAGCCAGGCCAAAAGCAAAAGCAAAAGCACCTAGCCAGGTAAACTGTTGATTCCATGTGGCGACGCGACTGCCTTGTATTCCCCCTCCCCCTCCCCCTTCCTACCCCAACCCTTTTTATATCCTGTTTCCTACACGTGAGAACTTTGGCCTATGCCACCCATCTGGTATCTGTCCACATCGGGCTATATGTATATGTGTGTGTATATATGTACATACATATTCACGTACAGTTAAACTTCTCTAACTTAATCCACAATCTGTCACAGGGAAAAATCGAGTTAAAGAGAGAGTTCCTACAGCTGTGGTCAACTTTTATTAAAGAGAGTTTAGACGAGATTCGGGGGGAGCAAGGATTAACTTTAACTTATTTTTGGGGTATATAGTTTCTTCGCGGATTTTTAGTAAAAGTTTTAACTTGCACATCAGATACAAAGTTACAGAAAATTCGTTATTGGTTTGAAATCAATTAGAAAAGTGTCAGAAAGAAAATTATAAATTTTATACCCTTTTAGAGGTATTATTATGTTAGTCAGAAGCTTAAAAGGAAGTGAAGGAGCCATTTCCGACCATATAAATCATATATATTACTGATCAGCATCAAAAGCTGAGTCGATCTAGCCATAATCTGAGAAATTTATTTTTTTTAATTTTCTTTTTTTAATTTTGTAATGGGTTACATCGTTAAAATTGTCAAAATTTAACAAAAAATTGATTTTTTTTTAATTTTTTAAACTTTGTATGCTGATTTGTTAACCTTTTAAAAACTAACATAGAACAGCTTTCCGAATTAAAATTAATGCATTTTTGGCCTTGCTATGATATTTTTTATACTGCGTTTTTTCACTAAAAATGATCACATAAAATATTGATCTATAGTTCCTATATGGGACATAACTTACGTTTTCCTAGTGATAATTGGTGAAGGAATCATTTCCGACCCTATAAGTCATATATATTATTGATCAGTATCAAAATCCGAATCGATTAAGCTATGTTTGGAAGAAAACAAAAATTTTAGAGTTTTTTATAATTTTATAACTATCAAAAATTGATCAAAAAATTTATTTTTTTTTTTTTATTTTTAGTTGAGTATGCAGATTTGTTAACCTGGTAAAAACTAGCATAGGAGAGCTTTCCGAATTAAAATTAAATCATTTTTGGCCTTTTTATGGTATTTTAAAAACAGTGATTTTCACAAAAAAATGCTCATATAAAAATATTGATCTATAGTTCCTATAAGGGATTTAACTTAAGCATTCTTGGAGATAAGTGGTGCAGAAGTCATTGCTTATTAGCATCAGATCTATTATGCTGATTTACCCATTTCTTCTAATTTTCATTTTTATAAATACCTTTAAAATGTTTGTAATTTTAACTTAATATTCATCAAATCAAGGAAAATGCAATATTCTACCAACTTAAAGAGTATCCACTGTTGTGGCAAATGTGCGTGTGTTTCGTCAGGAGTTTGCTTTCAGCAGCATTACATCTCTAATGGCATTTACCTTTATTAGCATAGAGCCGTTCACAAAGAGATCTTTATCCTTTCACTGCGAAAAGGATAACATTCTTTTTGTGGCACTTTGCTCTCTCTCCCTCTCTCTCATTCTCTTTATATCTATCGCTGTCTAGGCTTTTTGCGACCTTTGACCAGTGCGAGTTGCTTTCAGTGGACACCCAGGCCATTTGCTGATTTTGTGCGAGAATGGCATTCATTTGGCGCAAACAAAACACAAAGCTAGAGGAAGAGGGATTCTGGGGGGGGGGGAGAAGTGTAAACCAGATCGAGTCCCCAGATGGCAATAAACTCCGGCGGAG